TGGGGGGGAGGGGCCCCTTTTTGTTTGGGTGTGGGAAAGGGGAAAAATTTTTGGAAGATAATGGGGGGAGGGGCAGGGGTTTGGGGCGGAAATTATCAGGGCAAAATTAATGTTTCAGGAGGCATCTTTTTTGGGGCCCGGTTGCTGAATGGGGGTTGGGATCGGTTTCCAGTGGGAAGGGGTTTGCTCAAGGTTGCCCCCTTTTCAAAAAATTTTTTTTTTGTTTTGTTTTAAAAGATCCCTTTTATAGAGGGATAAGGGTTTTTTTTGGAAGAAAAGGGGGGATGGGTAATGAAAGGGGGATGGGGGAGCGGGCATTGTTAGATATGTCAAACCGACACAAACCAAAAATTTTGGGTTTTGGAGAAAAAAAACCCATGGTTTTGTTTTCGGGAAAGAAAAGTTTGTAAACGTTTTTGAAAAGGCTACGGGCCCATGACGTTTTAAACAGGGAGAAAACAAAGTATTGAATTTTGGAAAAAGGGTCGCGGGGGGAAAGGAATGGTAGCTGAAAGGGGGGGAAAGGGTGGCCAAATAAAGATATGTGGGATCGTTTTTGAAAATTTGATATCAATCACAAAAAAATTAAATTCTGTCGTATCTTTTGATTGTTCTGAAGGTTTTGTGGGTTAAGGGGGTGCAAAATTTTAAAATTTGCAAACAATGGTGATAAAACAAATGTGCTATTAAATAGTAAATTTATGGCATGTTACGGTAATATTTCCGATACTTCGTTGTGGGAAATTAAAAAAAGGGTTAAAAATTTGTGTTTTTAGTTTCATTTGGGGAACAGGGGAGCGAATGGTTAATAGAAAACGGTTGTCACACCCCGGTTGGCCGTGGAGGGGGTGGGTCTTATAGAGGTTTGAAAAAAGGGGTAATTTAAATTTGTATTTAAAAAAAGTTTTAAACGGGAGGGGGGGCGAAAAAACGGTCTTCATAGGATACAAACAGGATTGCGACGGGGGGTGGGGGGGTCGGGAGTTTCCCTGTTTGGTGAAAGGGAATGTTACGGGGCTTCATAAACGGAAAGGTTTACTCACAAATTAAATTGAAACAATCTTGATGGGCAGATGTAAGGGTCTGGTTTTCGGCGGGAGAAGGAGTTTATCCCAAATATGATTGGCATAAAATTTGGGGGCCCTTTTAAATAAATTACTTTTAAAAAACCTAAAAACAAGAAATTATGTATAGATTTTTTACATGGAATCTTGCCGTCAGGAATGGTTTTATTCCCATAAGGAATACGAGGGGGATGGGGGGAAAGCAAGGATTTTGGAGGATTGGCACTATTTTAAACAGACACTGCAAGGGTCCCGGCGGACCCTCAAAACCAAATCTTTTTTTAGGGGTGTGGAAAAAAAATATGAAGTTTTAAGATGAGAAATTTTAATTACCCCAGATATGGTTTAAAAATGAGGAAATTAAATTTCTCAGAGTACAAAAACAAATTTGGCCACAAAATTTGGCGAAACAAACCCAAAGCCAAAAACCCCCGGGGGTGATTAGCGGAGGATCTCACCCTTTAAGGACCCATAACATTTTATCAATGCATCTGGGTAGAAAAATGAAGGATGGATAATGAACCCTTTAAAACTAGGGAGGCCAAGCCCTTTATGACACTCTTCAGGTCACTTGTTTATCAGGCTGGAATATTGCGCACTCAAACCCCCTTTCAAGGCAGGTAAAATTGCGACCTAGAAAATGTACAGAGAACTTTTTCCCGGCGCGCATAAAGGAGATAAAACACCTCAATTACGGGAGCGTTGAGGTTTTTTAAACCTGTATTCCTGGAACGAGGGGGGAGTAATGTTTATAAAACCCTGGAAAACCTAGAGGGACTAGTACCAAACTTGCACACAAAATCATCAAACAAAGCAAAAATTTGGCAGACGATGCCCATCCCCCCCAAAAAAAAGCAGGGGTGTCACTAGCCGTTAAGAGACCATACAATAAGTGCAGGGGCCCGAACTGTTTTAACTGTCCCGCAACATAAGGGGGGTTACCAACAGACCCCCCGGCAAATTTAAGCGGAAAAGGACAACACTAAAGTCAGTTCCCGATCAGCCGGGCTGTGGCTGACGTTGGTTTGGTGCAGCCGCCAACAGCCTGGTTGATCAGGCGCTGATCCACCGGAGGGGCCCGGTCACAGAGGGCCGCGGGGGGGTTGACCCCCCGAAATCTCTCCGGTAAACTCCCGGTACGGGTTTTTTTCGATTGTATTGAACTTATAAGGGTTTGGTGGGTAGGTTTTAAGGTTATGGGGGGGGGGGTTTTGCAGGTTTTGAGGGTTTTAAAATTTTGATTTAACTGGGGTGAATAAAAAGGGGTTTAGAAAGCGATTGGGGATATGATTACGGATTTTTACTGAGTGGGCTATGAGGGAGGCGGACGTGCTGCAAGAATTAATCTTGGGCAACTTTTTTGGGCACAGTGTAGAAAATAAAGGGTGTTGGAGGGGTGGGAGAGAGATTTAGTGGGGGTTTTCGAAATTTCCCCATTAAGGGATTTTTGGGGTTTGCAAAATGGGTAAGGGGGTACGACGGGCTATTTTCCTAGCTTGGTGTGAGCATGGAGAGCTGTTTTTTATGGTGTATAATTTAGTTTTGATATCAGAGGGAATAGGGTTTTACACCGAGGGTTTTGCAACTACACAGTTATCATTTAAAAAGGTGTATTAGCACTAGTTTGATATTTTTATCATGTATAAAACTTTTTCAAGGACTTTTTGATGAAAATTTTCAATGAGATCAAAATTTATAGGTGTTTTACTGTTTTTGATTCAATTGAAAGGGGAAAAAGTTTTTCCTAGCATTAGCAATTGGTTTTTATTTTATGTTATATTTTTGCTGTTTTACAGTGTGTTTTTCAGTAATATTATATTACATGTAACTTTTTTGTTTTATTTTTTCTTTGTTTTGTGAGATTTTTAAAATATCACATCGTATTTTTGTTTTGTTATTTTGGGATGTTTTTTATAGTGACTTTTAGTATTATCCTTTTCCCTTTTCTTTGAATACTAAATATTTTGTATGTTAAGATTCGTGATAATAGCCAATTTTAATGTTTTGGTATCGTGGTGTTTTAAAAGCCCCTGAGATCTTAAATTAGTCTTGCATACGTGGGGTTGACAGGCAAAAAACCTACCTAGTTGTCCCCGATGTAGTTCAGTAGGTAACTTGGTTGACGACAGAAACCTCACTGTGGGGGGTGCCTATGTAGTCTAGTTTTGTAACGTGTGGTTTGGTTGTGTGCATTGTGCGTTTTTTTTTTTATCTTTTTTTATTTTTAAAATCTTCAAAATTTTCCCGTTTTTTGATGTTTGGAAAATGAACCCTTGTTAGAGATGTTCTTTAACAAATAAAAAAATATCCTGTAATGTATTTTTGGGGGTTTGGAGTTATTACCACTGAAATATACGGGGTGTTGGTGAGTGTAATACCAAAGTAACATACGGTGTGTTGTTGGGGGAGTGATTTCCCCTTAAATTTAGGTGTGTTGTTGTGAGGGAATACCAAAGTAAATACGGTGTGGTGTTTGTGTGTGTATTCCACTGTACGTTGGTGTGTTATTAGGTCTCGGGTTAAGTGCGATTTAGTGAAATAATCTTTTGTCGTGTATCTTTTTTTTAAAAAAATTTTCTGTATTTGTATCACCTGTTTTAAATAAAATAAAAAAAAAATACACTTGGAAGGTCCTGGAGGACTGGTCCAAACCGCACACGAAAGTCACCCATTGAAAGCAAAAGATCGCATGGATGCAAAAATTCCCCCGAGAAAAAAGGGGCCCCGGGGGATACTGAGAGACAACACAAAAAAGTGTGGGGCCCAAGACTGTTAACTGCTCCCAGCATACTAAAAGGGGGTTACCAGTAAAACCCCAGTGTCTTTAGGGGGCACTGGACAGGCACCTAAATCAGTACCTGACCAACGGGCCCGTGGTTCGTACGTCAGCTTGCATGCGGCCGCAGTAACACTGGGGTTTATCAGACCCTATCCGCCCCGGGGGCCTGGGGGCTAAAACTCCCCCTCACACAGGGGGGCCCGGTTCGATTCCCGGGGGGTGGAAACATTTCGACACGTTTCCTTACACCTGTTGTCCTGTTCACCTAGCAGCAAATAGGTACCTGGGTGTTAGTCGACTGGTGTGGGTCGCATCCTGGGGGACAAGATTAAGGACCCCAATGGAAATAAAGTTAGACAGTCCTCGATGACGCACTGACTTTCTTGGGTTATCCTGGGTGGCTAACCCTCCGGGGTTAAAAATCCGAACGAAATCTCTTCTCTCTAGCCCTGGTCTCAGACCGGGCCCCGGGGGCGTTGACCCCCGAAACCCTCTCCAGGTATCAGTAAAATGAGTACCTGGGTGCTAGTCGATTGGTGTGGGTCGCATCCTGGGACAAAATTGACCTAATTTGCCCGAAATGCTCTGCATAACAAGTGGCTTTCTATATAGTAGTATGTTATTGATGTCAGGTATGGTCTGTATACCTTGTAGTAAATAAAGATATTATCTTATTACTATAGGTTCGTTATAGTAAAGGACGCCAATGGAAGCAAGTCACTCTGTCTAACTTTCTTTTGGGTTACCCTGGGTGCTCTACACATATGCTGCTATGTATGATGAACTATGTAACTATATGTGTATACCTAAATCAACTTCGTAACTTTGTTTGTAACTTTACGTTCCAGCTGGACCAATCATGGTCCGCCACCAGCCTCGTTCACCATCTAGTTACGCCTCAAGCAAAAATACTTTTAAAACTATTAATTGACATTTTTGTGTATATATGTCACTTAGATACACACAATATTTTTAAATAAACATGAGTTGGAGTTTTCTTGAAAAACTGTTGCATTAAAGCTTATGATTAAGCAACTAATGGGTATAATATCAAGTAAGTAAGACTGTTATAACAAGGAACACTGTCAGCAGCCGGTGGTAGTCATGTTGAGGTTGGCTCTTCCAATTTTTTTAATTTTAATAACAAATTTAATTAGTTTTTTGTATTTATTAAGTGTTAAGTAACCTTCAGCTGAAGTGCTTTGATGCTGATGAAGGCCCAAATGATCAGAGGAACTGGGGTTATTTTTCCTTTTGTGGAAATAAGTCACTAACTTTTTGAGGTTATCCTAGGTAATTTATACTATGAAGTGATAATTGTTCTTATGTGTATCTCTGCCTAAATAAACTTACTTAACTCGTTCCCCAGGCTGTATATAACCAGTACGGATTTGACGCTTTCCTCTAAAATATGCAGCTATAGTTACCTAGCACTACTTTGCCAAACTCGAGTATATTTTTTTAATTTACAATTATGACCTCTTCGTTATCCCTGGTGAAGGTATTGCACTTATCTGTTATTTTATATCCTTGTGTGACTATTTGTAATCATATATCTCCTTTTCTTCCATTCAACCATCAAAGGCATCGTGTGTTTTAGCCTGTCAGTATAATTTTCATTGTACTGTACCGTAACTGTGCTTTTGATAATGGAGTTTAATATTATTATAGTCGTGTTCAGCCAGAAGTACAAGAATAGTAATATATCACAAGGACCCTAATGGAAATAAATCACTGACATTTTCGTCACTAACTTTTTTGGGTTATCCTAGGAACTTTACACATATGCTGCTATATATGATAATCTATGTAACTGTATTTGTGTATACTTCAGTAAACTTACTTATCCTAACTATGACCTTTGTGTGTTTAGCGCTTAGTTATGATTATAATAATAATTGGGTTATCCTAGGTAATTTACACATCTTACTATGTATGATTATCTTTGTGTACCTGTACCAAAAAAAAATTTTCGTATTTACCTTTTTATTCATTTTTTTTTTCCTTGAAAGAAAAGGATACATAAAATTGTATGCTGTAGAATTTTTAATTCATTGCTAAATGATAGTGTGTTCCAGGTTAGTTTTGTTGATGGTATGTGTGACCTCAGCCCTGGGGGCCCACACACTGGTGCTGGTGGACACATTAGCTACTCGTGAAACACATTCCATCTTCCTGAAGTCCCTTCAAGGTAAGTTGTTTAAATAGTTTTACCTGGAAATAATGGATTTTTTTTTTTTTATATTTTATTTAAAACTCAGGTACAAAATATATGGGTACATAATCAATATGTAACAAGATACAGGCAGTGAAACAATAATCTGTAGTGACTACACAAATACCGAAGAAGCACTTATATAATGACATCAGAACTGGCTGCACTCAAATCAAACACTGCTTTTATGTACTGTGCTTCATGTGAAAAGATGGTCTTATAATAAACGATAGTCCTACCTGGTAATGCTTACACTGCCCCCCCCCCTTTGAAAACATACCACTTTCACCTTAGTATACTCATTGGACAAATTCTTATACATTTATAAGAGCTTAAAGGATTTCTTTGAAAAAACATATATAAACACAACCCAGCCATCAAAAAAGGCTGATATAAAAAAAAGGAATGTTAAACATGTGGCACACATCCCCCATTGAACACAATCCACCCTGCGTCATTTTCGCATCGCTTTGGGCCGTGCGGACGCACGTGAGTAGCTCCCATACAACTGGTTTCTGGCAGTTTTCACTGTTCGGGCATGGCGGAGTACACCGGAGGGGAAAAATTCAGTTTGCATTGAGTTTTTGAGGGGTTCTCTGAGCCCTGTATATAAACGTCGTTTCCTGCAATTATTAGGGATTTATTTTGTTCCCTAATGAGGAACTGTATGGTGGGGCCCTTAATGGGATAAAACGAGTTTTTGTAAAGTTTGAGGAATAGTGCTACAGCAGTGTGGTGGAGGAGTACGGGAACGGCGAATGGTCTCAACTCGACGATGGATGTGTGTTGCATGCTATTACATTCTACAGTGGGTACGGTGGGAATGCCCCTTCGAGGAAAGCAGTTTGGTAATAAGGAAGTTTTTCGCAAGTATGGTGTCATTCATGAAGCCGAGGTGGGGTTTGGCGGGTGGACCATATGGGGGCCTGGGGAAGGGTCATCAATTAAAAGATGACTTTAAAGAGCCTATACCTTCGTATGTAATTTTCCCCAGGCCCCCAGAAATCAGGTATATGTGTCGTATGTGGGGCAGAGGAGAACGTGTGTCTTTGTGGTTTTTTTGACATATGCGGCACAATGTGCACGTAAAAATTTTCCCCCGGGGGTGTCAGTCCGGTGGGGGAATCAGCGGGCGAGTGTGGTGGGGGGCGGCAAAGGAATGGGACTACTTATGGGGAGGGGTGGGAAGGAGGGTGAACAGTTTGGGGGTGTGTCACACTCCCGGTGGGGGAGGAAGTTCCTTCCCAACATCTGAGGTGGTGGAGGAAGTGGGGTGACTCGGGAGGTGCCCTTTGGGAGTCAGTGCCCCAGGAATTCTTGGGGGGGGCCTTGGTGGAGGGACAGGGAACGGATCAGTAAAAAGCAGAAATTTGCAAGGCCTGAGTGAGAAGTCGGAAGTAGTAGGGAACAGGGAAATTTTTCACTTGTAGTGGCAGAGGTACACGGGGAGGATGTCCCTGGGGAAAAGAGGTGGCTTTGGGAGGCAGCCTGAAGAGACCAGCGGGGCTGACTGAATTGATGATGTTTTAACCCTGGGCAAAGCCCAGGAAAGGGGTTTTGGGTGGAGGTGGTCCGCAATTCCCTACAGGGGGGGGAGTAGGGGAAAAAATGGGGGGAGAGAAAAGGGGGGTAGGAAGTTCTATTAAAAAGATTTTAATGGGAAAAGTGTAAGCAGTTGAAGGAAGTGGAGCAAGCCACGGGCATAGGGGTAAGCCCCCTTCCTTGACCATTCAGGTGTGTAACGAAAATGAAATGGTTTAAAAAAATGGGGTTTTAAAAGGGTGTGGTTGGGGTGGTTCCTTTTAAAAGGTCGATTTTGATTTTGGGTTTCCCTACAGGAGCATAACTAAAAGTGGTAGTGAGTTGAGATTGAGAGGATTAAGTTGTTTGTGGCATGGCAAGCTTTTAAAGGGGGAGGGCTTTTTTATAAAGGGAGCCCAGCCCCTTGCATCAGGGGGTTTGGGGGGGGGGGGGTGGGGGGATTTTTTGGGGGTGGTTGGTGGGGGGAAGTAGGGTATGTTTTGTGGGGTTTATATGCCTGCGATTTTGGTAACGAAGGAAAAAATCAGTTTTGTTCTACGTTTTTTTATTTTCTCAGGGTTTTCGCCTAGCTTTTAATTTGGGGGTATTGGAATTGTGTTTTTAGGCAGTAGGAAGTTAGTTCCTGGGGGGGCGGGGGTGTGTTGGTGTTTTAAGGGATTTGTTTGGTGATGTGGGGTGGTAGATGTGGTTGGAGGGGGGGGTATTCAGGTTTTGATTAACCTAGTAACAGGGGATTATGAGGCAAGGTTGGATGGTTTTTATGGGGGAAGAGGGGATGGATGGAAGAGTAGAAAAAGAGACGTGGGTTTTTCAGACCACAAGAGTTTTGGGCTATTTAGGGTGGTGGTTTTTCCGAGAAATATCAGGGCTATTGGAAATTAAATGTGAGGTTTTACAGGAGGAGGATCAAGGTCGGTCTTTTCAGTCGGTGAAGGGCTTTTGGGAGGCTGGGGATGAGGAGGTGGATTTGTTAGATTGGGGGAGTTGCAGGCAAGGTGAAAAATTGTGTTTTTTGGAAGAGGGGGGGGAAAGAGCACGTTGGAGGTTTGGATTGCGGAATTTTTTAGGGGTCAGTTAAATGATTGTTATGGGGGGGGAGTAGGGAGGGAGGGGAAGGAGTTATGGGGGAACTTAGGAGTCGTTTAGTAGAGATGCATAATGAACGTTTTGATGCCTCGGGGTCAGGGGGGATTGGAGGAGAAAAAAAGGGGTGATAAGCCAAGGGTATGTTCTCAGAAAATTCAAGGACGACATTTGGGGGACTCCGTGGCCTTTTGTTGTGGAGGGTGGGAGGGTTATGTGAGGGACAGGGTCTATGAAAGTTCTATCAGTAGGTATGCTATGTTTGGTTTACGGAGAAATGGAAGAGAAGGGGGGGGTGGTGGGATAGAAACTTTGGGGATTAGGGTACCGCGGGTTTGGGGGAAGGGGATAGGATTGGGGGGGGCATTCGGGGGGGAGATGGGGAAAGTGGTAAAGGGGGTTGGCAGGGGAAGGCCCGGAATAGAGGGGTTTTATCAAATGATTTTACAAGCGCTTTGGGGGGTTTTGAGGGGTCCCTAGTGGAGGTTCTGAATTATATGTTGAAATGGGGCAAAAAGGGCCCAAACAAGGAACTGGGGTGTTGTTTTGGGTGCAAAAAAGGAGGAGAGGAAAAGGGGTTTTGGGGGAGATTATCGTCCGTTGTCTTAATGTGTGGATTACAAAAATTTTTTCGAAGGTATTTGGGGAAAGGTTTAAAAGAAGGGAATTGGGGAGTAGAGTATAGGGACGTATGGGATTCGGGAAGGATATGAAAAATGGGCTAGTGCGATAAGGGATTTTATAGGAACTTCGGGGGGGGGCGTCCTTGGTTGGATTGGGCTCAGGATTGACTGTGTGAAAAGGGGGCTTTTTGGGGGATTTTGGAGAAATTGGGTTTTTGGGGGGGGGGGTTTAGTGAGGTGGGTGCGCACGCTGTTGAGGGGGGCTGTAATGGGGTGCAAGTTAATGGAAGTGGGGGGGGCGGTGTGATGGAAAAGGGGGTTAAAGGGAGGGTTGCCCCCTGTCACATTTTCTTTTTGCATGCGTGCAACATCCTTTCTTTAGGCTGTGGACGAGGAATTGGGGGGGGTGGGGGGGGAAGATGGGGGCTTAGTAGGTTATGGGATGATACAAATGTGTTGTTTTGATGGGGAGGCTTTAGTAGGGGGGAGAGGTCATTAGGAGCTTTGGGTATGTTTCAGGAATGGGAGAATTTAGCAAAAATTAGGTTATAGAAGTAGGAAATGGGTTGGGGGGAGATTGGGGGAGGGGATGGGATCGGTTTGTGATAGAAAATTAAAGGGGTGTGGGATATGGTATATGAAGCAATTGCAGGGGAATGTAGGAGGATTAAAATCAGAAACAGTCACGGTAGGGTTATAGGCAAGTTAAAAGGTTTGAGGGCCGTGAAATGGGTTACAGCAGAGGGGTTGGTAATTAATTCGGTGGTGTTAGCAAAGGGCTGGGGTGTAGCGGAGGTGTTCCCTTTGAGGGTGCAGGATACAGGAAATACGAGGGGGTGTGAGGTTTGTGGGGGGTTTGGGAGGGCCTGGTTGCCAAAGTTTGGTCATGAGGAGGTGAAAAGGGGGGGTCTAGGTTTGTTGGACTTGGGTCTAGGGGAATGGTTTTTATATTAAGCAGAGGTATTTAAGGGTGGGGGGGGGGGGGGAGGGGGGTTAGGGGGGATGGGTGATGGGGATGCTAGAAATGGTGGAGTGGTAGGGATTTGAGAAAGTGTGAAGAGTAATAAGATTTGTTGGCAGTGGGGAGTAAAAGGTTGAAGGTAAAGCAAGTGGTGGGTGTGGTGTGGGGAAGGGGTCATTGAGGGGGACAGTTTTTCCCCATGTTAATGGAGGGTATATGGGGGAGTTCAGGACGCTTCGGTACCAGCAAGGGGTTTGGGGGTTTTGGGGTTCGTTTTTTAATGGGGTGGTGGGATCTAAGTATATGTTGATAAGATGGGGTTTGTTAGGAGGGAACATGTTTATTCTGTGGGGAGGAGGAGACGGGGATATCAGTGGTATTTTTTGTTATCTTTTTAGTGGTGGAGTCTGGATGGCGGGGGGTTTTTAGGGTTGGGGGGGGGGGGGGTTGGTCTTTTTTTGATCGTTGTAATTTTGGGTGTTAGTGGGGTAGCAAGTGAGGTGGGTAGGGCTTTGATGTTGTCATGGAGATTTTTGCATGTTTCTTGGGGTATGAGGCAGATTGTAGGGCGTTGAGGGTAAAAAAGGGTTTGCAGCGGGTTTTTAGGACAAAGGTGTAGGAATAGGTTAATTATGGGGGGGGATGGGGGTTCAAATTTTTGAAGGTTATCGTAATTTTTTTTGTAGCACGCTTTAAGGGAACAGGGGGGGGGGGGGGGTTTTAAAGGGTGGGTTTTTTTTTTTTTTGAGGGGGGGGTGTTTAAAGGG